ATTATAAAATATGTGTTAATTCAAGGAAAGTAAATAATTGAAAATGGGCTGAAATAGTGACAAAAAGACAATATAGTGAGAAAGAAACACTATGACATAAGAGAATTCAGTAACACAGTGACAAGTAAAAAACCTAAAGGAGAAAAAAAGGAAAAAACAAAACAAATCAACGCCAGCGTCAATTGAAAGAAACTGTTACACCCTAAGGTTAAAAGAACACTGCTAATGCAAGTTATCATGACCCGTGCTATTTTGTAAATTTACAAAGTGCGTGCAAATCTCTTACTTTGGATTGCAGTAATTCAGGATTTATTCTTTAACAAACACCTAGAACCAAAAGCTCTCTTCATCTTTTTAATTCAGAATGGAGGTGATAAATTACTTTAATAATCACTTTTATTACAAGTTGGCAAGTTGTGATATTAACATTTATCTCTCTCTTAAGTCCAAAGTTTCATTTTTTGATGTCGCTGAATTATATATCCAAACTAATTCCCTTATTCGCCTCTAGAGTGCGCTGTGACACATCAAACGTCACAAGCACTTGCGCTGGATTTCTGTCAGAAAAAGTGTTTGCTGAAATTTACAGAAGATAAATAGAAATCAACATTCAATCGTCATCAGGGACTTAGCATCTCCAACATATTAGAATAAGCTTTTAGAAATAGTCTCCCCTTATCTTAACTTTCATAAAACCCCGTCAAAAACACCTCCTGCTTCTAGTCTGTTGATGCCATTGATACATTATGACAATCAGCCTGCGTCTGACCATAACTGGCCAAGGTATTCCCCCTGATATTTATAGAGGGTATTATATAAAGAAGGATTGTCAATTTATCTGTTGTGCACAATATACCTGTAACATGATGAGCTCAGTCTGGGGGGCCAGCCTTGAGTGTGCAGTTAACAATGGTATTAATAACATACAACACAGGCTTCTCCCCCTGCTTAGAAGAGAAAGTGTGACGTAAATTATCAGCTGCAGACAGACGAGACTCAGCGGGTGGAGGGAAAGAAAAGACGCAAGGAGCCTTGGTTGGCGCAGGCCGAGGTGTCGCCTTACAGGGCAGGGACCCCTCATCCACATCTTAAAAGGCAGGGCCTCTGCAGCTTGTGGTAGCATGCGTCGCTCATCGGGCATCGCTGTCAAGTGCCACATGCTTGTCTTTGTGCTATGGGAGCAGGAATGGGCTGTTGACTCTCAATGCCACACGCCTGCTCACATTCCCAAGGAAGGCCGAGAGGAGGGAGACACTGCAGACAGTGGCACTCCAGCTGGCCAACACACTGTAGAGGCCCTAGAGTCAAAATAACAATGGGGGAGGCCGGTGTTAACATGCACAGAGTGTGGTGCCTCAAACTGCTGTCATGGCCTCATTCCCGGCTAAGGTCACACGGGCATCTTAGGAAAGAGAGTCGTGTACATAAAGGATGACAATTTAAAAGGATGAA